AGGCTGCCCCACGCCGCCCGCGGCTCTCAGGAATGCAGAGCCCCTTTCAGCCTGGCCGTTCTCGGCCTCGTTAGTTTACGTCTCTTTACAGGGGATTTTTTTTGTAAATTGGCAAATAGGTGACTTGTTCTGTGTCCCTCGGACTTCCTTTTAGGCGTAATTAATTATTTTAATTGATTAATATTGCACTGAGCTGTTTGCTTGGAAGGGACAGCTCTTCTGGTTTTTTGGACTAATTAGCAGTCTGGATTTCTGAATGACAGTATGGCTGCTAATTAATCTCACTGCAGTTTTCACAGAAAGAGACCCTGATAAGAACTTGCCAATTAACATAAGAAAAAAATGTCAAGAGTCCTGTTGTGTTTTTCTGGCATTCACTCCCAGTCAGATGAATATCACTATTAAATACAGAGACAGACTAAGTATGAAAGCCAGCAGGCTGAGAGGCTGCTCCAAACTTGCCCAGACATTATTCATACAGGAGCTAGCTGTTATTTGTACACCCGTTCACTCTTGTTGCCTAACATAGCTTGCTATGGATTTTGTAAGCAGGAGGAAGATGAAGCAGGGCAGCGCGGTAAGTGTCCGACCATCCCCATAGGGAATATCTCGCAGTGTCCCAATGTTAATCAATATTGGCAGAGGGCTGAAAGGGGAGTTTTGGCAAGCCGGGTCCCAGCTTTCACCTGGTTCGTCTGGTGCGGATGGGGACGTGAGGTCTGTGTGGGGAGCTGCCTGGCTCGGGAGCGCTCCCATGGTGCATGATGGGGAGCAAGCGAGTGCCGTGTGGGATGGTGCTGGTGGTGGTGGGCAGCAGGAACGCCCCTGGGTTCCTTTGCTTGCCTCACACGTTGTGCCCAATAGCCATGGTGAGCAGCACCAGCATACAGCCAAAGTATTCACTTTGCTACTTGCAGAGGAAGTTTGTAGCCCATGCTGACTTTCCTGCTGCTGCAGCTAAGCTGCTAATAGTTTCTGGAAAAGCTCATTTAAAACCACCTGGGCATATTACAGAACTGTGTAATCTCAGCTGTATCTGTGGCGTAGATACATCCATGAAAGTACAAGGTCAGATGCTCAGCTAGTGATGGTTACTCAGGTCCTGGATCCGCACCAGCTCTGTGAGATCAAGGTGAGTTACAGGGATTCCTCTAGCCAGGGGGAAGGGACAGGACCTGGTGCTGTTGCCAGTTTGTTTTCATTACCTTAAATTTTCTGAAGCAGTGTTTCTGGCCCACAGGACCACATGCCACGGGTGTTTCTGAAGAGATGAGCAGCACAGCAGTTTCTGTGGCCCATGTGCACTGCTCTGGGTGACCAGAGTGCTGTCGTACACTGGGACATACAACAAGCTCATGGAAAGTGCTGGTTTAAACCATACTGGCTGAATTTAATTTCTTTTCTTTTTTTCTTTTTTTTTTTTTTTCTCTTTGTGTTTGCAGGTCAGAAGATTCTTCACCACAGAAGTGATGTCTTAGAAACTGTAGTCCTGATCAATCCCTCAGATGAAGCAGTTAGTACTGAGGTAAGTCAGAAATACTTCATTGGATGTCATAAAATCTCCATTAAGTGGTCAGGATGAGAGCAGTGAAGCAGATGTAGTTGAGATGATTCTTGAATATCAGTTACAGCCTTCTAGCTTAGTGACTGACAAACCCCAGTACTGTCTTTCGGAGTCTTAGCAGACTAAGAGCAGGTCCTAACTGTGGATGAAAAGACATTTTAGGAATAAATGTCATGAAAAACATGAGCCATCCCTTGATTTTCTCCCTGGTTTCCCAGATTCCAAAACATTAGAGGCATAGGACAGAAACACATCTCTGATCCCAGCACTCCTTTTCTCATAATGCACCAAATTCCCGTTGTGATGAAGGCAGCTGTGGTGAGACTGCATCTGCTTTTCTTCTGCTCCTCCATTTTTTGGTAGCTCTGGATGCCTGTTTTACACATGAAAAAAGTGCCTGAAGGTGCCCTGAGACAAATTTAGATCTCTGAGAAGAATTACCAGCTATGTGATGGTGACTCTAGGTTGATCTATCTGTCCTTCAAAAAGCACGTGACATGATCAAGGTACTCTGGAGAGTGCCCCAGAAGAGGACTGCCAATTCTTCATGAACTTGCTGGAGAAGAGTCAAAGAACTCAGCATGTAGCTCAAAGACAAAATTGACAAATTTAGCTAGTGAGACTGAAGGTTGGAAAAATAGGGATAATTGTATTGCTAGCCTGTGCTGGGAAGCCCTGACATAGTACCATTTCTGTTGGGAAATGAAGCAGCTCTGCCTGTAGTACATAGTGAAAAATCTCTTTTGTTACCAACCTTAAGTGACATTAAACACAAACGGGAGAAAGGACTCCAAAACAAACGAAATTTCTGAATTTGTAAAAGTTTAAATAAGTTATAATAAATAAATATGTAAATGGCAGGTCATTCGCTAAAAAATGATGCATGAAAATCTCTCACAAGGCATTAGAGGTACTTGGTAAGGAACAAGGGAGTCAGCTGGGTAGCAGCTCTTAATACAGACATTTAGAGTAAAAACCTATGAAGTGTGTGTGTGTGTGTGTAGGTGGGGAAGAGCCAAAGGAACTGCCAAACGTAGGAAAATGCCATTTCTGTTGCTGTTGCTTGTCGAACCTTTGATGGATGACCACATGGAAGAACATGGTCTGAGGCCCATTAATGACTTCTGAAACCCAGCTTTACTCCTTTGGCTCTGGAAGATGTTTGGCTAGCTTACTGTTAATTTCCTCTCGCTAGACTGTGGGAGACAATCTTTTTTTTCACTTTCATCTTGCCAAAGTGGTCACAGCCGGAAGTTGCAAGCTGAGATTTACCTTGGCTGGCTAAGCAAGACTCTGACTGGCACAAGTCAGAAAAAGACAGTAAGAAAGAATCAGGAGAATTAAATTGGAGGTTGGAATAGACTTGCTATGCCCATTATGGCAAATAGAAAACTTAGTTTCATATATCAAGAGATTTCCAGGTTGCATCTGGGGAGACAGTGATATACCATGGAGCTATGATTTCACTAGAAGAGGAACTTGAATCTATCCATTCAGAGAAAACAAAGAAAAATTCTATTAAAATAAATTCCTGCTAATCTGTCTGGTAATAGCCAGAGTGGTGGTAATCTGAGCATGGTTATGCCCAAAGCCCCTGTCATGTTCTGTCAAATGCCAAAATACCTCTGAGAAGAGAGAGGCCCAAAAGGAGAGAGACTAGTTTCCCAAAGAAAACAAGTTTCTGAAACCCCCATGAATAGTTACTTCCGTCTTAAGAAGACCCCACTCTGTTGCTCCAACGCTCCTGCGACTGTACCGTAAGTCCGGGAAAGCGCCGATCTGCTGATGCTCCTGTCTCTGTTCACATTCATCTGTACCTCCGTTTTGACTGAGGTTACATCTTGCTGTCCACTTCCTTCAAACAATGTGGAACTTCAACCAAGGGTAAAGCTGAGCAGAATCATCACCTTGCAGTATTTCTTCTGAAATGGAGTGGTCTTGAAATCAGGAGATGCATTTCTGATAGTCCTTTAGGAAGCCCTGGTTACACCCAGACACAGAATTTATGTGGCTCTTGAAGGTCTTCCATGTGTATTATACATTATGCTCTGTAATCTGCAAGCATTTATTTACTTTTTTTTCTTGTTTGCTAGCTCTGCAGAACCTATTTCATCATCATTTAATAAAATAGGCTGAAGGGGAATTATGTGACAGTCACATATCAGTGATTCACAAGTCAAGAAATAAATTTGCTGTTGGAAAAACTGGTGAGTTTACACATAAGTTGGCAGACTGCTCAGCACTGCTGCCAGCAATGAGAGAAAACATAGAAGAGGAAGCCAGTTCTTTTATGGTTTTAATACAGCTGAAATAGACAAGATTTGAGCAACACAAATCAGACAGCCAGCTGCACTTATCTATATTTTTGTCTGAAATAGAAATAGATACACTTGATCCAGCAAGGATATTGCTGATTTTATAATTATTTGGTACAATTAGTGACAGACCGGCATTAGTCCTCGGTTTAATTAAAGGAACTTTCTGCTGCTCAGCATCAGGGTCACTTATTTAATAAAATACCAAAGAAAATGTGGTAGAGATGGGATCTTCTTTCAGATACATACTCTTCAGTGCCTCTTTTCTACTTGTACTGAAAATGTGAGTTGTTCAGCAGAGATTCAGGTCGAGCCCTCTTGGCTCAACCTCCCTGGCATGAGAGGGAATTATTTAGAACAACTGATTGCTTAACAATCAATATAAAAATTTGAAAGAATAGCTTGCTAGGAGAACTGAGGTGATTATGTCATCTCCATGGAGATGGAGCTTGGATGCAATATCATGTGGAGTTGTTCCAGATGGACTCTGCTCATTTAGTTTAATACGTGGATAGCCTTGTTCTGGAATCACTATTCTGGTTTAACTTAATTACTCCTTAAACAGACAAATTAGTGCACTTGAATTCATACCTTACTGGAGGCTGAATTAATTTTTCAGTGTTGGACAAGACTTTTGAAGTATTTGCAAAAAATTTACTCAACAGTACAGAATCTTACAAAGGTTTTGTTTAGTGTCGTTCTTAAATTTAAGTTGAATTCAGCCAACAGAAGTATAATGAATATATGGATTTCTCTTAGCATGCAAGTAAATCTCCCCCTGCAGGGGGAATAGGAATTATGAGTAGCTGTAGTGAGGGTCAAGTAAAGTAATGAACATCTACTTTAAAATAGTTAAAAGTTATTTCAAAATGCAGAAGAATGTTATTTCTCAGTAGCAAGCTCATTTGTGCCATCAGGCATCCACTTAATTTATTACTGTATATTGAAAAATGTCTTGGGTTGGCACACCTAAAAAAAATTCTAGTGTTCACAGTTAGTAACATCATGTTTGGGTCGGGGCAATCCTAAGTACAACTACAGGCTGGGCGGAAAATGGATTGAGAGCAGCCCTGAGGAGAAGGACTTGGGGGTGTTGGTGGATGAGAGGCTCAACATGAGCCAGCAATGTGCGCTTGCAGCCCAGAAAGCCAACCGTGTCCTGGGCTGCATCAAAAGAAGCGTGACCAGCAGGTCGAGGGAGGTGATCCTGCCCCTCTACTCCGCTCTCCTGAGACCCCCCCTGGAGTACTGTGTCCAGCTCTGGGGGCCCCAGTACAAGAAAGACTTTGTACTGTTGGAGCAAGTCCAGAGGAGGCCACAAAGCTGATGAGAGGGCTGGAGCACCTCTCCTGTGAGGACAGGCTGAGAGAACTGGGATTGTTCAGCCTGGAGAAGAGAAGGCTCCAGGGAGATCTAGTTGCGGCTTACCGATACCTGAAGGGGCCTACAGGAAAGCTGGAGAGGGACTGTTTACAAGGGCAGGGAGTGACAGGACAAGGGGTAGCGGGTTTAAGCTGGAGGATGGTAGATTTAGAGTAGATGTAAGGAAGAAATTCTTTACTGTAGAAATTCTTTACTGTAGAAGTGATGACACAATGGAACAGGTTGCCCAGAGAGGTTGTGGCAGGCCCCCCCCCGGGAGGGGTCAAAGGCCGGGTTTGGAGAAGTGTTTAAGGCCAGGTTGGATGAGGCTTTGGGCAACATGGTCTAGTGGAGTGTGTCCCTGCCCATGGCAGGGTGTTGGAACTAAACGGTCTTTAAGGTCCCTTCTAACCCAAACCATTCTGTGATTCTGTGATTCTATGAAATGGTGCGTGTGACTATATCTGAGTGCTTGAAGTTCAAGTTTATGATTATGGTGAAGCAGAATTGTCCCTTAGCTTTCTAAATGATTCAGGTTACAACAGCATTACAGTCTAAATAGGACACTTTTATGTGTGATTTGTGGCTATTAATTTTCAGTGATGTTTTCACAACTGAATGGCAAATAATGCTGTACTTGGGGAAAAGAAGAGCAGCCTTCCAAAAACTGAGTCTGACACATGCAGTTTCCCTCTTTAGCACGTGGGACACAGTTTGCCAAGGCTGTCCTGATACAGTGCTATTAAAATTCACCAAGAGTTATAAAATTAATGTTTGTTTATTGAAAATATTAATTTTTAATCTAATTTTATTCTGTTCTGCTCCTTGCTCTTTTTTCCATGCCATGAGTTTGCTTTATTCATCAGACCTTCTCTCTAATTGCTTCTTGTCTCTTCCTTTTTCCCTTTTGCACCATGTTAAGTCCCATTATTGATGTATTTCTCTCCTTCACTCTAGGTGCGCTTAATGATCACAGATGCTGCAAGACACAAGCTCCTTGTACTAACTGGACAGTGCTTTGAAAACACAGGAGAACTCATTCTGCAGTCTGGGTCCTTCTCCTTCCAGAACTTCATTGAGATCTTCACAGATCAAGAGGTGTGTTCAGAAAAGTGTCTTCCATACATTGTCGTGTGATGTCGTGTGAAGACTAAAAATGGCCCTCTGTGTTGTTAGAGTTAGCATCGGTAGCCTGATGCTGATGGTCTTTACTCTTCATTATAGGCTTTCTTTCAAAACATTTATTTCTTTTATTTTAGGTTTTATGTAAATTGCTTAACAAATGAACTAAATTTTAATGTGGGGACTTTAATTGTAATTTCCAGAAAGAGAAAATCAAGGAACATTTTGACAATGGAAGGAGATAGTGCTGTGTTTGAGATATAGAGGTTGTTTATCTAAGGTATACATACAAAGCAGTCAAATTGAATTTGACAACAGGTTCTTGCCTGGTGGCAGCTAAGTAATAGGCAACATTAATAAGACAGAGGCTGTCTGTTGGAATAACTGTAGTTTTTTGCACCACCTACCTGCTTGGCTTCTTTACAGAAGTGTTTAAAATTTGGCCAGTGAAATCTGTAAATCTTGTGATTTTTTACATACCAAAAAGAGAAATATGAAGCATACCAGTATTTAATGCTGTTTGTTTCATGACTTGTTATTTTGCTGTTTGCTTAATGTACTGTGCCTGAAAGCTCCCATAGGGCAGGAACCCATAGTAAACAAGCTGTCACACTTCATTTGGCTGCTGTGTAAAATATGTTTAAATAAACTATATGGCTGCATCCCTAGGAATTTAGTTTCTGAAATTAATTATTAGGAGCATGTCAGTGGAGTGAGATTTGAAAGTTCAGCGCTGAAAAAGCAAAAGTTTGCATGAGCTCCAGCATGAGCTTATTGTATCCATTTGATCCTATTCTCAAAGCCTCTTTGTTCAGCATATGGTTGCAGGGTCGGGGAAAGAGCTGAACTCCTGTTCTTTGAAACATGCGTGATGCCTACAACTCACTAGCAGTTTGCAGAGTTACTTTTCTATGAAATTGCAAACCTGAGCTCCTTGTACCTCCAGCTAATTAGCGACACACAATTAGTTTATGACTACATGCAAAAATAGCGGCAAATCCTACTGTACCTTTAGGAAGCGAAATTGTTGGCTGGAAAGTGGAGGGGTGGTGATTGGCCATGAGTTACAGCTGCCAAGGGATTGCCGCAGTGGTGGGCGTGTAGGGCGTACTGCCGTGGGCTATCAGTAAGGCTCACTTGGCTCATCTCTGTGGCTAGCAGCAGGCTCACCAGCCAGCCGACATGGCTCTTTGCAAGTGTTGGCTTCCAGCTTATTGCTTCTGAAGCCTTGGGCACTCTCTGCTTCTGCAAGATTTCAAAAAAGCAAAGAGATCACCTTTGCCATACCGTGGTCTGTGTATGACATTTTTTAAAGGGTCTTGTTATTGGGAAATTTTTAGGTGGTCTACAAATGGGGAAAAAGGTTAGAAAAAAGGGCTAGAAAAAAGTCGTTAGTGGTTTTCTATGTGGTGATCAGAAGAAGGAATTCCTGTGTTGTCCTGACCATGGTGGACTTGGCAGTGTTAGGTTTACAGTTGGTCTCAATGATCTTAAAGGTCTTTCTCAACCTAAATAGTTCTACGATTCTATAAGCACGTAAGGTTTGATGAGTACTGTGTAGAGCAGGTGTTTCTGGCCTCTGCCCAGTTTTACTTCACTGGACCAAACCTGAACTATGGTCATGGAATGGTCTTACAAATAAGTAAATACCCTTTGAGGGATACTCTTATGAAGTCTAATTCAGAAATCCATCTCTAGCCTGCAGAACTCCCTGCAGGCAATGCCTAAAAGTGGTGTTTTCAACTTCTCCCATGCAGGAAGACTGAAGATGTCCCATTCCACTGCCTCTGCCACAACATCCTTTCTTTTTACCTTTGTGGTCCAGGGTAGGAAACAGTCTTGTGTTTTCTCTGAGCAGCCAACTTGCTGCTTGCCTTCACCAGGTGTGACACCTTTAAAACTTGAGGATTCCTCAACAGATATCTCTCAGTGTTTGAAAAGACGATCCGGTTCACAGATACATTTCTTTGCTCCCAGAGTGACTTTGAATCCAGAGAAGAGAAGGAGTGGTTACATTTCTGTGTTATCAAATAGTATAAGCAGTGAAACTGTCGATATCCTTGGTGAAATGCAAATCCATTGAGGCCTTTTCTGGGGCATTCC